AATGCTGTCACAGCTGTGTTGAAACTTCACGTCCCAACAGCTGGTTTTTATCTGTTGCTGGTGGATATTAAGCACCGTAGAAACGAGGGAAACAAGCTATTTAGAGGTTGAAGATTTTGGTTTTGTTTGAAGGGTATTTGAGCATGTCATTATACTGATATGAATGTTCCATTTACCAATAATGATAACAATATCAGACATGAGAACTAAAGGCTGAGAAACACAGGAAATGGAGAACAGGACATGAGATATAACAACCGCTCAAATGGGGACAGTGTGGTTTATGAAGTACACCCATCTTTGCGCCCAGGGTAAATCTTTTATACCGAAAGAAAAGAAAAAACCCGCACACATACAAAAGGGTTTGTCTTTTTTCAGAGAGCATTGGGTTTAGTTTCTGAAAAGCCTGCATAAACAAGCCAGTCCAAGACAAAAACTGAAGTCAATTCACAAATGCGTTAAAACAGGATTACACACGTCTAGTAATTCAGTCTCCATCAGTCCTAAAGCCCATTCTGGCCAGCAGAAACTAACAGATGAGTCTAACAGAGTCAGGCAGTTAGCAAATCTCCAAGGTCACAGTTCTGATTACAGGGACACGAAAACATTTAAAACTGGAAGTCTATTCATGTAGCAGGACTGTCAGGGTAACATTTAATCTAACCTCATATAGTAGCACAAACAGCAGAATTACCGCCTTGTCAACTAGTCAAGTTGCATTTCACCATCTGTGGAGACTTTAACCTTTGGATATAAAATGTCTTTGTTGTTTCACGTTATGTCATGATTAGCATATCACCAGAAACAATACTTGCGGTACCATTCAATATCAAAATTCCAAGAATTTGTTTGCTACTTTAAATGCCGATACACCAGTAATTCTTGAAATCAGGTGGGTAGCATACAGGTACACGTATTTTAGGCTATCCTTACATACTTAAGAACTACTAGAAATATCTGGTATTGTGACAGGTCTAATTTTAATTTGTCAAGTTAGCTAATTTTATGTATTGATTTTTTCCAGACGCTGCACTGATCTTGACCTGTGAACATGAAGTCAATAAAAGTTGACTCTGACTTCATGAACATGGACCAGATTTCAGGTCACTGTGTTCATGAACCTCGACCGGCATTTTCACCGCTGTACCCAACTTAAAAAAGCTGTTGTGTCATGTAGCTGCAACAGGCTGAGGGGACTTGGGTCGCCTCAGTTATCATTGGTCTTTCAAGTCCCCATAAAGAGCACAAAGGAAACAACTTTGTTAGAAGAGAAACACACAACAAGGACTTCTAATTTTACTCTAACTAATGAACATAGAGGGACAATCTAATGAACATTTACCTAATTTATGTTCACTTTTTGAGCTCGTCTGCAGGTTTACTATAACATAAGTCATTGCCATGCAGAGCCATGAATATCAAGGTTTGACCTACATAAATGTATATATATTTGGCACCCACCAAGGAAGTTTTACCCGGAGCCACAGGAAATTTATTTTTTTAACTTGTTTTGTTAACTGTGCTATTATTATTTCACACATAACACTGTCAAACGGTCAGAAATAGTATGAAAATGCACAGTTAACTAGGCAGAGTTAACCTCCAAAGGCCTGTGTGGAGCCTTAAATGTGTTTATTTAGTTTGAAAATCTCATGAGTTAACTACCAGCATATCCCCTGCTGATCGTACAGTGCATCTAAAGCTGGTCTTTAAACCCAAACATATTTAATTAACACCACAGTCTCCACAGTGAAATGGAAATGACCCGCCCTTTGTTTCTGAGAGCTACCACAACATCTGTATGATTATTTAGCGAATCACCGCCGAGGAACTGAATTAACCTAACGGTGTCAGGAAGTCATGTCACAGTTGATGAGAATTAGCACCTCCTTAACAAGTGTGCCGACAGATCGCAGCTCTAACAAGGAAGGTAATAGGCAGGGGACAAACTGAAGCAAGTCAAATAAAGCAGACAAGGAAGCACTGATGTAGTGATGGCGTTCAGCTATAACACACGCAAAAGCCATAAAAAATAGAGGAAGAAAGAGACATTTTGGCAAATAACAAATTCAGCCAAAATCACCAAACACACACCTGCATGCACTCAGAGAAATGAAGGGACACACACGCTCATTAATCCTCTCAACCTATTGTTGTCACTGAAGCATAATCCCGAAGTCGATGACTAGCTTAATCTACAGCAAGTCATGTGACTCTAGTTACACAAACTCTAATCATCTCACACTTGCACACAAACAACCAGCAGCCGAACCAGCAGCAATTTTTGTTTCATCCAATGAGAAACGAGCTACACATCTTTAAAGCCACATTTGGGCACATTTTAGCTGTTATTTTCAATATCACAGCAATTAAATGTGACGTTTTAGGATTCTGTCATACCAGGCGGGAGAGCACATATCATTGGAGGAAAAATGTGCACTGCCCCCATCGGTTGGCAAGTGCTTGCTGGCTGGCACTGAATAGAATCGGTCAAAAAGACATTGGTGCAACAAAGATGTCCTTATGATTGGTGTGGTCGCCTGTACTTTACATGGAAAACACAGCGTTAACCTCGCACACTTCACATTTACTCTTCAAGCTGAACTGAAATGGTAAAAAAGTGCGATTCAAACCATAAAAAGAGACCAGTCACATTCAAAGCAAAAGTCATACCTTTTGAAACATGTTGGTTGCAGCAGTAGAGCACAGTTTTTACTTTGAAGGCAAACAGTCTCCGTTTCTTTTTTCATCATTTCACTAGCCGTCGGTAAGAAGTTGCTGAGTGTTTACGCGCAACCCTGTGCTTTCAATGGGCGACGTTGGCAATTTTCACCTAGCCAGCAGCCTGTAACCACTCACCACCTGGTCAGGGAATACATATTTTTCCCTAGTAACCTTTGGTTGTGTCTTTCAGGAAATAAATGAAAAATGTTTTTCATAAGTTTATTTATGTAATAAACTAATTAATTAATAATTTTTCTCACTATATGTCTATATAAACATATATATGTCTGTGTGTACCCTCGTTCCTCCTTAGCTAGCATATACCAATCACGTATACGGCAGTTTTTAACATCTATGTTTTTTTTCCCCTAAATTTATTACAAATATCAATTGTTTAAATTTTTCTGTATTTGTTTCATGTGCCACATTCCATGTGCGGCATCCAAATACGTAACGTTCACAAAAACTTTTGTTTGACTTACCACTAAACACATAATGAAACATTTTAAAATGTGCTACAGGTTTTTGCTAGTATAGAATATGTATGCAGATAGGTTTATGATTTAAGAATGGATGCTCTGGTGAGAAGTAATTCCAGAATTTAAAAATTTGGAATAATTCTTAGGTCATTTTCTCTAAAAAAAAAAAAATACCAATACGTAAATGACACAACAAGTAATTTAATTTTCTTTTTTCATTGCTTTTAAGCTTTCGTCTTGTGTTTTATAGGTTATACACCCTTCGGTGTGATTTAACCGTAACTTGTCCTTTCAATTGTTAAATTTTTTTTTAATCCAATCATCTAAACTGGATGATGCATGTGAAAAAACAGGAAAATATTTTGCAGATAAACAGACTTTTTTGCTTTTGTTTCAGTATATTTTCATTTTAGTTTTTCTTGTTTCAGTTTCGTTTTTATTAGTTTTTTATTAGTTTTAATGTTAGTTTTAATCTTTTTTAATTATTATTGTATGGAGGGCATATGTCAGAGACAGGACTATTCCTCCATTATACCTCTTTATTTTTTTAGTTCAATTCTTTTCCAAATAAGTTTTAATTTTTTTCAAAACTCTACTTATTATTTTTATTTTGGTTGTCTAGGTTCTAGTCTTGCCGATAACGCTAAACAAAACACAAACACACACACACATATATGTTAGTATATATAAGTGTCGAGTGAGATCAGCCAATCAATACTAGACTGTTATCCAATCCTATTGTCTGCAACAGAAACAAATGAGGCATTATGGGATGCCATTCCCATGACGACAGGGATAGCAGGTATCCTGTGTCGTCTATTGATCTGAGTGTGTTTTACAGCTGCAGGTCAATACAGGTAATGGATAATGATTTACACACACACACACACACACACACTCATACAGAATAATAGCACATTAATCACTCTGTTGATAATGATGCATTTCTCTTTATTGTTATTAGCTCATCAATAACTAACGACACACACTTCTGTGTATGTGTTTAAATGCCAGTAACAGGATACTATCAAGCCATCAATATCTTACTGTAAGAGTGAGTCCAGAGGCCAATAACATCTACCAGAAGTCCAGTAAGAAAGGGAGCTCTTACTGCTGTCATTGATTTGAACACTGCTCATGAGCACAGTGGCGGTAAGAGAGGAAAATGACGCAGGCAGGAAACAGACCAGGCGTTAGAAGGAAGTTAGCTGACCTCAGAGGAGAGGTCGGATGAGAGGTCTGATTTAACGGTTGATAAAGTTGCGACAGAGACAGTCACACAGAGAAAAGGCTGCTAAAGATGCACGGTAGCGGTTAACGTCCCTTCACATACATTTGATTATGATATGCGAGGCCTCCGAGAAAGGCGTGGGTCCTTCAGACCCACATGCACATGCCCACATTTCAATGATAAGTCTAAACTTTGTGCAGGTTCTTCAATAAGTAAACAGCTCAAATGTTTAATCAGGGTTACCAACATGGCCCTGATCGGAAATTCCATGATTTTTCCATGAATGTTCTCTAACTGAAGAGCGCCTGCCTGAATCCAAAAATATTACCGCACTCTGGTTCGCTAATGATGCTTTTTACCTCAGAGGAGTCAGGTCGAGAATGGATAAAGTTCAGAAAAGCTCTTAAAAGCACTGCAATGTGTCGAGAAAGGTTAAAAAAAAAGCAGCTGAATCCATCATCTATGATACAGATTCACTAATATTACCTGATTTCTTTCTGTGTCAAAAACAAGTTCTTCTACCTGCTATAATCCCATCTACACACACACACACCATTTCCTCCTACCTTGGCCCTTATCTGTCCCGAGGTCGAAACTTTGCGGATCAGCTTGTGTGACGTCTCTTCTTGTTCTCCATCGCTGTCTGATGACTCTTCACCTGCTTCACCGGGCTGCAAGAAGAGGAGATAAAATCACCGAAATTGAATGTGAGATCAGGAGCTGTAAAATGTCCTCATTTTAAAATGTAGTGGCCATCAGCCACTGATTCAGCAGTTTGGCTGATGGGCTTTTTACTCAGATCAACATTTTATGGTAAACTTACGTAAAATCCCACCGTCACCTACACAGAAAAAGTGAAGTAAAAATGGACCGATAGTACAAATTTTAGGTATCGACCAAGTAACCACCTAATCATAAAAACTCAGGTAGCTCTTACAGCTCTTTAAAAAAAAATAAAGCAATATTAATTTTATAGGAGTTAAAAAAAACTTCAAAAAAATGCTGCTCCAACGATTCAGATTTTTTCTTTAGCATGAATATTTTCAAAATAAAAGACACTAACTGTAAAAGACGTACCTAGATTATATAAGTGCACTTTAGGCACTCGCTGATCTGGATATTTGCATATACAACAGAAAATGTCAGCATAGGCACGAGATTTTTTGGGTACCGGAAGGTTTCTGGTTTGTAGCCTGAGTGCTACTGACCAATCACATTTGAGCAGGATGTAGCTGCAGGCGAGTAAGCTGCCTGTGGTGAACAAAAGAGGTTCTGCATTCACTGAAACGCAACGTTAAAAAAAACAAAGATGATTGAGCTTTACGTGTACACACCATCATGGAGCGAGTACTTTTAACTTCTTAAACAAAGCCACCACCCCAAAAAAACAAGAACGTCACCTCCTCCTCCACAGTGGGAAATCTGAGCCTGCTGCAAAGCTTTTCCGCGGGTCAAGAAGTCAGGGATTTCAAATTCAGTACATGTCGCTGATACTCTATAAATGTGTGGGGAAAATGATAAAGCGAGGAGGTCGGGGCGGATGGATGTAGTCTTTTTCTTTCAGCTGCTCCATTTAGGGTCCTCTCTGTCACACTAACCCTCCGTGTGTTCTCCTTCAGTACATCCTCTGAGATCTTCCTCTTTTCCTCCTGCCTGAAGGCTCCATCTTCAGCACCCTTTGTCCACTATATTCTCTATCCGTCCCCTGCACATGTCCCTCTGATGTATTCATTTCTAATCCTGTCTTTGGTCATCAAAAACACAGTTTAATGACTACATTTTCTTACTTTGTGTTCCCATTCACACATTTCCTGAATCTTTCTCAGAGTTTATCCACACTGATCCCTGCAGAGTGGACATCTCCCCGTGGCTGCTTCCTTCCAGGGTAACTTTGTCACATGTAGTGAAGGTTTATACTCGCTGCTCAAAGGGGCTGTTAATAATTCCTGTATTTAAAGGCTGCTCCATGCAGATGAGGTATCTCGTTTAAAAGCACGTGTCTTCTTTCACCTGCAGGTCGAGATTAGTCAAGGCTTTTGTTATCTCGACACGACCCGAAGTAAAAGACTCTCGCTAAGGGATTGTATTACTTATAATTTAGGTCGTGTAAGTTGACTAGTCCCATTGTTAAAAGTGTAGAGTTGTTGTTTTTTTGTATTTTTACCCCTTCTGAAAGGGAAAGGAAAAGAAAGTGGAAGCAAAACCTGTTGAGGAGCCCCACCTATACTTTCACAATCTCTCTCTCTTTCTCTTTTTTTTTCCAATTTTAGCTTTACGTGTGAAGATGAAGTGGACTGTACTCACAATATGAGTCCTTTCAGAGTCTTGCGGTGATCCCAGCGACTCCCCAGCCCCCGCTACGTACAGGACGTTGGGGTTCAGTTTGGACGCCATCACGAATTTACAGCGAAAGGCGAAGGAGAGGAGAAGGGGTAGGAGGGCGAGGATAACAAAGAAGAAACAGAGACACGGGTGTGAAGGGGGTGAGAGAGATGGGTGAAAAGTTGCAGAAGATGTGGAGGGGTAGGGGGATGAGGAAGGGAAGAAGGGTGGAGTTTGGCAGGTGAAAGCCGGGCTGAGAAGAGAGATGATGAGGAATGGGACAGCAGCGGCAGCAGCAGGATCTGGGACGCCACGCTCCTGCCGAACTCTATCCAGGGCCAACTCTGGAAAAGACAGAGAGATGAATTATTGATCAACAGAGAAAAGCTCGGGTTTTTTGGCCGGGGGAGGTTGTCTCTCTCTTTTTTTGCTGGAAGTTCCCAACATGTATAAACAAAGTGTGGCTTTCACAGCTGATTAATTTGCCTTCCTCCTTCCATGGCAGGCTTTCAGCTGACAGAGCTACAGACACAATGCACACGGCGCTTCTGTTTCTCGGTTCCTCTTTGGGTCTTCCTGTCTCCGAGCGTTAAACACTTTGAGGTTTACGGTGT